AGGTCGCCCGCACTTCACACGCTGCCTGTCCCTCCCCACGCTGCTACACACAACGCTAGTCCGCCCGCCACTCACACTGCCTGCTGCTGTCCCTTCCCCACGCTGCCACCACACAACGCTAGTACGCCCGCACTCACACTGCCTGCTGTCCTCCCAACGCTGCACCACCACACGCTAGCCCGCCTGCACTTCACCACTGCCTGCATGCTCCCTCCCCACGCTGCACACACACAAGCTAGTCCGCCTGCACTCACACTGGCCTGCTGTCCCTCCCCACGTGATGCCACCACACAACGCTAGTTCGCCCGCACCTCACACTGCGCTGCTGTCCCTCCCACGTGCCACCACACACGCTAGCCGCCTGCACTCACACTCGCCGGCCTGCCTGTCCCTCCCAGCCTGCACCACACACCGCTAGTCCGCCCGCTACTCACACTGCTGCTGTCCCTCCCACGCTGCACACATCAACGCTTAGTCTGGCCCGCCACTCACACCACTGCTGCCGTCCCTCCCCACGCTATGCACCACACAACCGCTAGTCCGCTCTGCACTCACACTGACCTTAGCTGTCCCTCCCCACGACTGCACCCACACAACGCTAGTCCGCCCGCCACTCACACTTGCCTGCTCTCCCTCCCCACGCTGCCACACAAACCGCTAGTCCGCCCGCACGCACACTGCCTTGCTGTCCCTCCCCACGCTGCACCACACAACGCTAGTCCTCGCCCCGCACTGCATGCCTCTGGTCCCTCCCCACGCTGCACCACACAACGCTAGTCGCCGCCACTCACAACTCCTGCTTGTCCCTCCCCACGCTGCACACCACACAACGCTTAGTCCCTCCGCACTCTCACCACTGCCTGCCTGCCTGTCCCTCCCCACGCTGCCCCACACACGCTAGTCCGCGCCGCACTGCCACCCATGCGTGCCACTCCCCACGCTGCCACCACACAACGCTGTACTGCCATGCACTCACACTGCCTGCTGTCCCTCCACCGTGCCACACATCAACGCTAGTTCCGCCCGCCACTCACTACTGCCTGCTGTCCGCTCCCCACGAATGCCACACAGCAACGCCTAGTTCTGCCCGCACTTCACACTGCCTGCGTCCCTGCCCACGCTGCACCACACAACGCTGAGTCCGCTTGCACTTCACACGGCTGCTTGCCCTTCCCACGCTGCACCACACAACGCTTAGTCCGCGCCGCACTCACACTGCCTGCTGTTCCCTCCCCACGTCTCACCACACAACGCTAGGTCCTGCCCGCACTCACACTGCTGCTGATCCCTTTCCACGCTGCACCACACAACGCCTAGTCCGCCCGCACTCACACGCCTGCTGTCCCTCCCCACGCTGCCACCCACAACGCTAGGACGCCCGCCACTTCACACTGCCTGCTGTCCCTCCCCACGCTGTCACCACACAACGCTAGTTCCGCCTGTTCCACCAACACTGTCTGCTGTCCCTCCCCACGCTAGCACACACAACGCTATCCGCCCGACTCACACATGCCTGCTGTCCCTCCCCACGCTGCCACCACCACAACGCTAGTCTGCCCGCACTCACACTGGCCTGCTGCTCCCTCCCACGCTGCCACCACACAACGCTAGACCGCCCGCCACTCACACTGCTGCTGTCCCTCCCACGCGCCACCACACAACGCTACGTCCGCTCCGCACTCACACTGTCTGCTGTCCCCCCACGCCTGCCACCACCAACGCATAGTCCGCGGCCGCACTCACACTGCTTGCCTGCCCTCCCCACCGTGCCCCACCACAACGCTAGGTCCAGCCCGCACTCACACTTGCCTGCTGGTCCCTCCCACGCTGCACCACACAACGCTGCTTCCGCCGTTTGCACTCACACTGCCTGCTGTCCCTCCCAACGCTGCACCACACAACGCTATGCTCCGCCTGCACTCCACTGCTGCTTGTCCCTCCCCACGCTGCCCACCACACAACGCTTAGTCGCCGCACCCACACTGCCCTGCTTGTCCCTACCCCACGCTGCGAGATTATCCGCCCGTGGAAAGAGGACTGCCGCTTACTTGCTGCGCGTTTCTTCCTGCGCAGCGAATGAGCGCTGCGATCCTCGGGATGAAGGTAGCGGCCAATCGACTTTGGCCGCCGCCCATTCTGTCAGCAGAGGGCGCATCGACAATTCCGTCTGAAAGCGAGAGAATCGATTGGAGGGCGATTCAAGTGCGAATACGTCAGAGAGAAAATTAATTTGTATGCATTGTGTGACGCCAATAGCGCACAGCCTCACTCCAGACAACCCACTTATAGCACTTCACGCCCGCTGCTGAACAGCACGCTGTGCAGTCGCACGCCGCCCTCAACTTAACCGCATTACTATTAAAACCACTACACGGGGCAAATTCGCCGGCAAATCTAAACTCAATTACAAGATCGCAGCAGTGAGTAATCAGCCGCAGCACAACTTGCACTGCTCTGCCACATGTATGCCCCTCACCCCACCCATGCCAGTACCCCCCCCCCTCGACCACCCCAACTCACCATACCACCCATCAACCCAACCGCCCATCCCCACCATACCCAACCCCATCACCACCCCACCCACCCCACCTCCCATTACCACCCCATCACCCCAACCGCCCACCCCCGACCACCCCACCCCACCATACCCCACACCCACCACACCACCCCATCTCCACCCCCAACCTCACCTACCACCCCATACCCCAACCGCCCACCCCGACCCCCCACCCCATACCCACCCCACCATCACCCACCCCACCCCACCCACCTCACCACCCCCCCCGACCACCCCAACCTCACCATCCCACCCATCAACCCACCGCCCATTCACCCACCACCATACCGACCCCACCCTACCATTTCTACCCCATCACCCCAACCGCCTCACCATCCCACAATTACCCGACTACCCCACCCTCACCATTCTACCCCATCACCCAACTGCACACCCGGACACCACCCAACCACCTCACCTAACCATCACCCCCACTACCCACCCCACCACCCCCACTTCCCACCACCCCACCGACCAGCCACCCACCCCACCTCGTCGCCACCCCCACCCCACCCCGACCACCCGACCACACACAACCACACCCACATCTCCACCCAGAACCCACGCCAGGTTCTGCACAGAACCAGCGTAAAAAATACACGGGAGCGAATGAGCGAATTCGCTCTACAAACCCTCCGAATATCGGCTCCCGTGAAGGCTTCAAAACAGCCTCCCGTTAAATTTCTTGAGCGACAGCTATTTTCCCAACGAGACTTGACAAAAGAAATTTTTTTCTCTGCGTACAGAACTTACCATCCAAAGTCTTACATTACCGGCCACCGTTTGGCGCCTTTTCGGGCGTGGCTGACGCCGGGTAGCGCGTCGCGCGTGTTGGGAGACAATGGACGAACGCGTCACCGTCGCCAGACGCCGCAGCGGCGGATGCTGTCAGCTCATTCCACCGATTGCCGTCTTCTCAGCGGCGTAGTAGCCGTTGCGCTCCTGGCAGCAAGGACAGTTCGAGGGTCAAACCAAGGTCATTATGGAGGTCAACCAAGGTCACAATAGGTCAACAGCCGTTAACAATGAGGTCATTGCTTGAGGTCAACCATGTCAACATTTAAGTTCATCTAATAAGCGTCAACTAATGTCAACAATGAGGTCATTGCTGAGATGCAACCCAGGTCAACATTTAAGTCAATC